GGCTGAAAACTTCCAGTTACTTGTATGGCATCGACATACGCTTTCCCCCTGCAACACACCCCAGGAAGCAGAGAAAAACCACTTCTGAGGTGCAGGAGTAGTTAGGATTTGGTCTCAAGCCAGGGCTCCACTAGGATACAAATAGCTCCAAGGCATGAGAGAGACCCCACCAGCTGACTTCACATCAGCTACCGGATTGCAACAGGGTGAGTAGATTTTGCCCCCTTAAGCTGAATTTCAACCAGCAGCAAAACTGTATCCTGTCACCAACCTATAACATCTTGCCCCCTTTTTTTTTTTTTTCGGTTGCCCCTCCTCACACAGGCCATCGCAGCCAGAGTCCAACCCCAGGCAGAGGCTCAAGATGCAGATTTCTCTTCCACCCCTACTGCAGTTAACAGGTGCTCTCCTTTCACTCTAACTACCAAAGCTCATCCAGGAAAATCACAGCTGGGCATGGGAAAACCCTTCTCTTGCATGCCTGGGAATGAGATGCAGTTGCATTTTGTTGCAGAGTTTAAGTTGTACAGTGCAGCTGGCTTATCTATATACCTGGTTTGTGTCAAGGCATAGAGAGAAAGAAAAGGGAAATCTTTCTAATCGTGTCATCACAACAAACAAAACACACAGGATTTAAAAAGCCAAAATTAGGTATCAGTAGAAACATATGCCACTGCTGCCCCACTGATCCTGTCTTACACGCTGTACCAAATTTGTCTGGACAAAATGCTGCATTGCATCACCTTACCAGACAGGAAGATACTAAAAATTAGGATTTTGCAGGATGAGCTTGCACAGAACGCGTGTGCAAAACTGCCCTCTGCTGTTTAGATTAAGACCTGCTCAAATAAATGATAGTGTGACCAAATCAGTTTTTAGTCGTAAGGGTGCAAGTTGTGAAGAGGCAGAACTATCTGACTTCAACTGTTTTCTGCCTTCATGCACAGTAGAAATTTCATACATGAAAGCCACTCACATCTGTCCTGCAGCACGGACCACCCAGACAGACTGGCAGGCTGTAGCAAGATTGTGCTAACCGCAACAACACTCCATTCCGCAACTATCAGGTAGCGGGTGAGCAGCAGCGGACGTCCTCTGACCCCCAAGATGCGTCAAGAACATCCCCAGGGATGTAAGGGAAATAATGGTAATGGTGAGCGTGCGCGCTGCAGGAGGACACGCACCTCTCAAGCCATTAAATCAAGGTGTGACCTTGACAAAACAGGAACTGGAACTATACGTCTGCCGTCAAAAGCATACAGCACAGAGGCCTCTAAGATGATTATTAGGTTACAGCAGTGATCAGAAAACAGGGTAGTGACCTTATCAAAAGATGTCCAGTAAATATTCTGTAAAACTAGCACCTGTAAGCCTCCACTGCAAGGAAAGAAGTGAGAACCTGGATTTTCTTTTCAAGAACATACGGAAACCACCGTACTTTGAAAAAGCTGCCCATTATCTAGTGCCAGTATGCTGGACAGTTTGGTACAGAAACATCATGGAAGGGCCAGATGTTTTCTGTGGCTTCACTCACACGTTCGTACATGGGACGTGGCAAATTCTGCCCTCTGAGAACAGCATCAGATGTCCACATCTTCTTTGGGAAGCTCTGTTCCGGTACAAACGCAGAAAACAAGTACTGTTACCTGCACAGTTTCTGGAGTGCCTCTGATGAAAACTAGCCCAGTCTTTGTGAATTAAGCACAAGTTTCAGCTCTTTGCAACAGGCTCTTGGTCAGATTTGACTGCTGTGCAAACAGGCTTTTTTGGTCACTGTGTAAAGGAGACCATAAGCTACAGTGGTCAGTGTAAACAACCGAATTAAAAACCAAACCAATACTTGGGTACAACAGAAGCCTTGAAGAAATTCTTTTTCTCACATCAGCCCTTTTCATATCCACATGTTTAAAAACACAGAAGCACGGGTGTACAGTCCAACACGCCTTTGAAACACTCGCTAAAAGCACTTAGTGACCACTTCAAAGATTCCCTTGAAGTTTAACTCATGTTAATTTTAACACAACGGTCATGTAGGGCCACTGTTCAGCCTAAGGGACTTGAAACACACCATCAACAGATGTATAAATGAAACTTCAGAAAGATTCTTCAGGGTGCATAAATAGCTGGAGCTTTTCTTTGATGATGGCTGGCTGGCCTCCTACACAGCGGGGCTGGGACTTCGCCTTTTTTCAAGCTAAGGGCAACAATAATATTCTGTCATCCCCCAGGGTAAGGAAATCAGTGCCAGATGATTCAGTGTGTGCCTGATCACTCTGGTTTTGGATTCAATTCCATTATCTAGAAAACTTAATGGTGAGACATCAAAGGTAGTCCTACATGATCATGAAACTTTTTTTTTTTTTTTTTCTATAAAAGCTGCCTGAGAAGCTCGTAACTGATGACAGGAGACTTCCCAACATAAAACTAACAGACCTCTGATTTCCTTTATGAGAAATCCTCGTAGCGCTGGAAACAAGTGCCTTGTGCTTGGAGCACCACAGAAGAGAAGATGGCTCTTTCTGGGAGAAAGATTAGTAGTTTTACCTGCAGTAAAATAAGATTACAATCTTATTCACTAGCAGCTGTGAGCTCCACAACTGGAATGGCTCACTTCCACCTTTTTTAATTTGCACAGGTGAAAAGAAATACGGTACTATGCACAGCTAATGCAATGGCATTACTACTACTGATGCAATAACATCCATCATTACCACTGCACTTCCGATGACCTGCACTTTGCTTACGTCTGAAACCAGTTCTAAATTACAGCCTCCTACATCTGTGGGCTGTACGTGCTAGCTACACCAGTGCCAGCCTGCCACTGTTGGAGCAACAGCAAATTCCCATTCTAGACAGTATCTTCCAAGTCTTCACAGTTTGTAAGGTACTACCTTCATTGGGATTTTGGGGAAAAAAAAAAAATAATCTTAAGCCCTGCTAAAAGGTTTCATCATTCCCACCCTATTAGCCAAGGCATTCAAAACAGGTATCAGAGCTTGCTCTAGCATACTAACCAGGTACTTCTGGGTTATCAAATACGAGAACAAATTTGTACTTAAGGCTTCATTTAAACCTATGCTATCTAAAATTGTTTGCATCTAACTTTGCAGGATCAGGAAAGCTAAAAAGGGTTAGAGTAATACGTGTGTCTATAATGCTTATGAAAGCAATGACCATTTGTAGATATAATCAGACTACGACCAAGTCTTCCATCAAAATCAGACGAACTGACATCCAGGTTTGCTACAACATACTTAGTTCAGGAGAGATTTGCTGTAAGCTAATTGTGAATTCAAATTGTCATCATTATACCAAAGAGTGTAGAAAATTGTTCAGGTTTGAAGGAAGGGTGGCACTTTCGTCTTAACGCTGTTTGGGTTTGTTTTTCAAGGCAGGGTAGAAGAGTTTGATTTACCTTAAGACGACGTTAAAAGGTGAACCAAAAAGATATTACACTGAAGCAACCACCACCTGCAAGGACAGCAGGTAAATATGCCTAACAGTTCTGTCAGCATAACCTATGAATTCTTACTTTTGACTTTTAAGGGTTAGAAAGGAAAAACTCCTCCAAAGCGCCTCACTGTACTCATGAAAAATAGAACCTTCTGCAATTTCACAGTATTTTTGTTAAGTATTCTAGGTGCAGAATAACTTAGTCCCTCTAAGATCAATTAAAAGGAAAAGAGCAAACTAGCCACTGCCATCTGAAGATTATGGCTACTAAGTTTTACTTTTACCTCATGCTACCTGAACAATTCAAGCACAACAAAAAGACTGCTGTCAAGAAATTTTCGTTCGTACCAGCCATTAACTTCAGTATTTGTCATATTACAGAAAGATTCAGTAGCACCTCAAATCGTGAGAAACTGTGTTTTCAAAGGGTTAAGGGGAAATACCTCTTCCAAGGCACACCATCTAAGCAGACTGACTCAGTAAGAGCCATTTCTACTCTCAAACTCAGGTATTTGACTGCTAGGTCACCATGAACTATCCACTTAACCTCTCAAAAATTCTGTGTGAGGCAATTTCTGAAACGTTGAGACCTACAGTTTGGAAGAATCTGTCTTTACAGAAACTTACACCAGGCTGAAATGAGTCAGAGACAGATGGGAATGTTGGCTAACATGCTCTCAGAGTATCTCACTTCTACTTGGACTATGCCACCTAGTACCTTACTATTAATGTATTGGCACCATTAGCACAAACTATCAGCTGATCTGAAAGACAGACACCTCAAAGTGTTCTCCTCCTTTCTTCTCCTTAAGTTAAAACAAATCACCACGCCAAAAATATAAAGCTACGTTTTTAATTGTTTCTTCTGCCACCTGAGCGGTGATAGCACAAAACCAGAGAACAGCAGAAACCAATCTGTTTTGACATTTAGAACATCCTACCCATGGAAAGCTCGCTTTCAGAAGTACGCTTCTGCTACTCGCTTGAGTCTTTATATTATTTGCTTCCTTTTCACTGACAAAGGAAAATTTACCTAAATTAAAGTTTACAGTATCACACCATACCAAAATTTTACATCTTTCCAATTCCATTAGCTTTAGCTAGTTTAGCTTGGGGATATCATCATCTTACCTTATCAGCACAATTTTTTCTAAGGCAAATGCCAAAGACTGCCAACAATCATTTTCTGTGGTCTTGAAGACTAGAGACAGAAACATTAACTGCCTACCTTGCAAAAAGGTTTCAAGCTTTCCAAAAAAAGCTCTTACAACCTGCCCCAGGTTCCATTCCAAACTGCTTTATTTCAGACACCTGCATTAACAGAGCTTTCATGTTTGCCAGATACAGTTTTGACTTGTATCACTTTAGATGTTATTGTTCCTGACAGAAATGGATTTGTCATTCTTTCTGCAGCCAGTCATCTATTACCACTCTGATTTGTATCTCTTTCTAAGGTGATCAGTTACTGTTTAAATGATCACATGTCTATTTTCTCAGGAAACGACACAAGGTTTTAAACTTAATTGAAAGCACTGGAAGACCAGCCATAACATTAAAAATAAATTTTAATGTTAAGTCATTTTTAGATCATTTGCTCTGACACTCAAATGTTCTGAAATTTAAAGTAGTACTATAGGGACACACAAGTGCAGATAAATCTTTATTGCCATAACTTTGTTTTTTCAAAAATGAGCATTGGGTTTTTAATAGGTCGTAGTTTTATGTCTTTATATGTACAACATTACAACTGCATATTTTAATAATCATGAAGTTAGTGATACTTTGATAACTCAACACAGTGTATTTATAAAATGAATTCTTATCAAAATACACTTTTCACTGGGATAATAAATAAAATCCTGCGAAACCCACCTACACAAAGTTAATTTTAACTCTGGTAGAACCCGATGTGGTACACAGTCCATTAACTACTATGTTTGCCCCTTTATCCCCCTACTGATGCTCATCTTCTGGGGTAAGAAAACATTTTCCCCCCCTGTTGTGGTGTGACCTCATTCAACATCATCTTCAGCCAAGCACTGTGCACTTACAATTCTCTGTAAGAAGGAGAAAAACTCATTCACAATTACATAAAATTGACAGTAGGCAACTGATTATCAAGCAATGTAATTTTACACTGAACACTAAGCAGTGTAATTACTGAGCAAACTGATTAATGTTAAAAATGGTAATCTATTTGACATAAGTTTTTGAAGTCAATTCTGCAGAAATTACATACTGTGCAATGCCCAACAAAGTCAAAGTCAGGTAAATACTATCCTATTCAGCCTCAAGTGATGACCTCTGTGTGGTTTTTGGCACTGTTCTCTAAGGAAACATTTTTGCTCCATTGTTTCCCCAGACCTTTACATCCTGTGTACCTGACACTTTTCAGTGTTTTTCCTAACTACATGGACCTTGAACCGAAATGTAACCAGGCCCGAGCTGTAAAGAGAGCTGACTGATGCACAGCACTGAGTCTCTGCTTTATGTGAGGTAACACCGTTAGGGAGTACCTTTTGCACTTCCAAAAACGTAACACACATTTATTTTACAATAGACTCACCTGCTAGCATATTACCTGCACAGTACTCAGGCTAAAAAGGGAGGGCATTTTATACACAGAGCTACGAACACTTTTATTGCCAGGGAAACCCCCAAGCTTCCAAACTGTCATGTGTTCTGGTGCTAGTTAACATTTTGTGTTTATAGCTGGCCCAGAAGCAACAGGCGAGCAAAAGCAACAGATTAATTCTAATGGACTTTCACAGCACTTACAGACACTTGTAGATATATAATTCCAAGGAAATAAAACTCAAGACCCAGTGCAAGGAAGTTACCGCTTTTCTGATCCCTCAACTTGTATTTGGGAAACAGTGGATCCGCTCATAGTATCAGAGCTGCGGTCAGATGTCTCTACTTTAGAAGAGCTTAGCATACCCTACGCATCAGAGAAGTTTCATATTTCTGTTTTACCCTGTTTGCTATCAATGCTACATGATATTTTTCATATGCACTTTTTATGTTTCAGGTGAAAAAAAGCTTCTTTTAATCTAATTGAACATATACAAAAAACATATTACAAAAACCAATACTCGAGACTGACGTAGTGGATAAGAGAAGTAGTTCAATTATTTTCAAATCAAAGCAACAGGGAATGTTTCACATACCTGGCTTATTGTAGGGAGCTTAGTTAGAAGCATTTGAAACACCGGCGGTGGAAGAGTTTGCTGTAGAACTTGTAGTAGCTGCTGCGGCTGTCCACACACAGCAATGGCATTGGTCAAGTGATCAACACCTTTCTCATATTCACCTGTATGACAAATTGTAATGTTTTGAAATCAACCTTCTTCCACGCTGTAAAGTATTTACATAAAACATCCATCGACACTGGATTAAATTACCGAGAATCAATTCACACTTTTCTTTCCTCCTCCCTTGCTGGATCTTCCGAATACAGAAGGTTAGAAAAAACTAAACAGATTTTCCTAGGTGAATTTGACTCCCCAGAAGATCTTAGTATATAAAAATCATCTTCTAGCAAAGGTAAAGAAAAATTATTTTATAACTTACCCTTCAAAGAAAAAATTATGCTATTACCTTGAGCTAGTAGTTCCTCGCCAAGCTGAATCTCCTCAAGGAAAAACTTCTGAACTGCTTCAGCATCTTTCAGATCAGGCAACTATAACACACACAGTAAAACTGAAGTTGGCCCTTAAACAGAAGTTGATAAACAAGCTAGCAGAAAACATTCTCAACTGAAATCAAACACACACACAACCATACAGTTACACTGAAACTGGCAAAATAAAATTAAAAGTGACACCACTAAGTTAAATGTACACAGAATGTTTTTGAAAATCAGGCTCAGGTCTCATATCATTGCATCACAAACGTGCAGAGAGACAGAGCCCGAAATACCTTTACTCAGTTTATTAAGTACACCATTTTGTAGCAAATATCAATTCTAAGGTGCGTTATGTTTATCACAACTCTATTTCTTACAATTGGTTAAGATAAATCTATCTTTTCTTCCAGGATCCACTGGTGATAAGGAAAGAGAAATCAAATACGTATAGCAAAAAACCATCAAGTTGAGTTATGCGTGTATCCCATCAATGATTTTTAAGTCTGAAAAGCCCTTGCAGATACTACAAAGAGGAAAACACCACCAAACCACACAGTAAATGTTGTACTTTCTAGTACAAGGCCTCTATCTGACACAGAAAAGAAACAACCATTTCATATGGTTATTTGTGAGCATTAAAAAAATGCATATTTGCAGAAGTGTTTGTAATGCTGGAATCAAAACAGATCTTTAAACAAATCTTACAAATGAAACATCTTTCAAAATAGCACTGCATTATTGAACACAGTATTACCTTGGAAAGCCCTGCTCTCTCTTTGGCAAGCTTCTGTTTCTTCCTTCCTGTAAGAATAAAAATATCTTACATTTCTAATTTGTAATTAAAAAAAATCCTTCAGATTATAGTTCGAAACTGTGAACAAATCAAAGTTATTTTCAAAATAAGAAACTGGTAATACATTCCAAATATTGAAGACTGAACCCAAGACTGCAACCCACTCTCTGCAACAGAATATCATTTAGAGGTCTAATGAGGGCTGGCAGTGGCATGCCAACTCAAAATTGCAGCTCTTCTCCTGCTGCCTATGGTAAACACCAACTGTGTGGGGCCTGCAGCAGAGCGTACCTCATGCACTAGAGGCACGAAGAAGGAAAGAGAATGAGAGTAATGCAGGATTTCTCTACATGATTTCTAGCAATGATAAGCCACAGAAGAACTGCCTACAAGTCAAGGCTATCTAATTTTGAACTATACGGTGCACCACCAACAGGAACTGTAGCAGGTCAGAGTGCATAAGTGTACTTTCCCAGCTGCTTTATAGCAAAGACTTGGGAACTAGTTAAATAGGTGGCAGTATCTCATCACCCCAGGCAGGTATAAAGATATTTTATAGTAGTACCTATTCATACAAGAAAGAATAATTACAGTAATACTGGTGATTTCCTTAGAATAATCATTTTTGTAAGTCATCAGCTCATCAACTGAAATAGTTACACCAATATCACTTTTAAATACAGCCTATGGTTAAACAACTGTACTCTTACTATTTGTCCTCAGTGTCTGCTTGGTGATCATTTATGTTGACAAAGAGCAACGGTCACACAGCCCTGATTTTTCTTTTGAGACAATTTTACAAGCTAGAAATACTTCCAAATATGACTAGCAGTTTTAATGGAAATGAGTTAAAAATTTGCGATTGTCCACATGATGAAGACATTCAGGAATACTATATCCTAGTAGCGATAATGTAACACATGAAATTTACAGCAAGATCAAGTGCTCTTTATATAAAGGGTGTTCACATTCTAACTACATGGATCACCCTTTTACCTTCTATGATACCTGAATAACGCTTAGCACATGAATTTCTACAACTTGCTGACCTGTGTACATTATTTTACAACATCATATGCAGAAAAATGTGTCATACAGAACTGTACCAGAATAATTTTATCATTATGCTTGTTTTCAATATTAAAGACTTTATCTCTTGAAAGGTGGTGCCTTCAATTAGCTCACTCCAACTTTTCTGAAGCATTAATTTGCACAAAACTTTGAACTGCACTACTATGCAAACCAGTTTTGCTAATACATAAATCTTAAAGATGAAAGAAAAAAAAAAAAAGTAGTATCTGAAATGTTTCACTATTAAAACAAGCCACACTGCAACTGCAGTGCATTCAGTGAAAACATCAATGAAAAGTACAAAGAGTAACAGCTTAACCTTTGTCCATAATTTTCAGGAGAAAATTGTGGTTTTTTGGCGTCACTATGACATCTCCTAAAATATTACAACAGGTATCAGTCACCAGGTTAAGCATTCAGAAATAAAGAAAAAAAAGACATGCTGGTAACTGTAACTATTTAATAAAAGGTTTTGACCACTGATCCCACACATATGAAATCATATACTTTAACCTGAAAACAGTAAAGTAATGTGAAGAATCACCAAGATTTTAAAACTGAACACTGATGTACAGAATCTTTCAAGTCTGATTATTGTGCAGTCTTTCTTTATCTTCTTAATACATTTTTGCAGATCTCTTTATAAGTCTACTAGCTAAAACAGTTACAAAAAACAAATAGCTCTAAAGGTTACGTAGGCATTCTTCCCATACTGGTTGGTAACATTAGTTTTAAAATATCTTTGCAACAACAGCCAGAAGTTACATTTATAATATCACAAGCAAAAAGCAACAGCTTGGGGAAAAAAAAAAAAAAACGCCACCCAAAAAAACCTGAAAACTTTTTTGTTTTCCCTCAGGGACCTCCAAGAAAATGAAAAACTTCCCTCTTTTCTAAAGACATTATCACATTTAAAAAAGGGGAAGGGCAATCTTCCATAGAAGAAATCTTAGTTAATACAGAAACGCACGTGCATCCATCCAAAACAGAAAGCTAAACTCCAGCTCTCAAACTGCGTGTGACTTGCAGGTTCTTCATGCGCAGCTTTTGTACAAAGGGAATGTTTCAAATGTGAACCAATGGATAACCTGGCGTGCTGGCAAGGGTTGCAAAAATCCCTGAGTTGCCCCAGCAGCTTCAAAACCAGTCCCACAAGGGAGCAGAACGACCGAAGAGCTGTTTGCATCTTCAGCTCCCACCCGTGAATCCTGCCCTGCTGCTCTCCTCTCACTCAGCTGTCCAGGCAGAAGGTGCTCTGAGGCAAAGTTCAGCATGGTCAGAAATTCTGGCTGTCTCTGAACGAAGAGATGAGCATCTATACTTGCATATAGAACAGTTCTGTTTTATACGTTCAAGAACACGAATAGCAAACACATCAAAAATCTTATCATCTTAAAATACAGCTGCAGAAACAAAGCAGCTCCAGGTAGCTTTGCTACCTTTTGATCCCAAGATGAAATATGGACATGCCCCCAAACTAGCGACACGAAAACCTAAATTTAACACAAAGCCTGCTAAATAAATGAGATTAAGACATCTGGAAAACCAAAGTCCAGCAGTTCTTCAAGCCTCCCAGTAAATATTTTTTTTTTTCCCCTGAAACCTGAATCTGGCCACCTTATTTTTACAACAGGCCTTTGTAATGTAAACTTTGATCCTAACACAGCCCAAAGAGATGTACAATATAAATGGGATGGCAAAAAAAATACTGGTTCTTCATTTGTCAGCATGTGCTTGACCAAATACAACGGGCAATCCACTGACATGTAGCATCTCCTGTCCTTCCCACATTTTGGTAACATTGCATCATAGGGGCTGCAAAACAATCTTATCCTAAGAATGTTACTGGAACGGATCTGCTGTAAAGGTGGCTTCTACAAGTTTTTCATCAAATACCCCTACTATTGCCTGAGAAACAGCGTATCTTCATCTAAAGAACTGCAACTGGCTGCTGCATTGGACCTTTTTGGGTCGAATATTTTACAGCCCAAGCCTTCCTATCCAACAGTAAAAACGCTGTAATAATCAGATCCCTGGCACCACTGCAGAAGCATCCATACTGAAGAATCAGTTACAGTACTAAAAATAAAAATAAGCCTTACAACTCAAAGCAGCCCCGTGTATCACGTCCAAGGATCGTAAGTCATACAGTGATGTCCTCCAAATGACAACAGCCATCCCCTATCAAACCACAAGGGTTTTCCACTTTAAAGAAAATGTTAGTTCTTAATCAGAGCAAGTCTAAGGTTTATTCAGAACATTACTGGATAGATGCTCAGATAATGAAACAATGGGATGCAAAAATCACTTCCAGTGCTTCTGCAAAGACCTTATGTAATCCAATATTTTCTCTACTACATATTTAACATCATGAAAAGAAGATGGCTGGTTATGCTGCCAACAATCAAGTTTGCTTCTCCAAGACCAGCACATACCAGTTTACTATACTAAAAATTCCCAATCAGTGACTTGCACTGCAGGGTGAAAAGTACTTGGAAGACACACAAGAAGTATGTGCCCGAGATCCTACATCCATGAGCAAAGGCCTGAAGATGAAGTACTCAAAAGACATAATTCGCTGTGGAAGGGCTTACAGAAAGCGGAATAAATATGCTCTTAAGCATAAACACTGGTCACTCAACAAATTCAATCCATGAAGACAGAATCAAAGCATTTAAGTTACATTTAAACATCATCAGGTAAAAATATTCATTTTTACCCCATCTAGTTATTGACTCTTCCATCCATGAAACTGCTGATCACGTTACGTTTACTTGCCGGGAAAGTTTACCTTAGTGGTAACTTCTTACCTTCAGGTTAGTTATCAAAGGAATACCACACATATTCCCATGACAGAAACAACCCAGCACAACAAATCTCAGCTTATTTCTCATGATTCATTTGAGTGCCTTGGATGAATTTGAGTTCCTTGAGTACTCATGCTTACAGCTGCGTTTAAAACCTTCGCTAATTATTAAGGCATTTAAATAAATGTTGAAGATGTGAAATAATGAAGAGCCACGGGAGAAGAGCTCTACATTTTGGATTAATCAACAGTTTTCTCTGGCATTCATTCTTATCCTGGAAGCTAATAACAGAGCTGCCAGGAGGGTTAAGAATGCAGCAGATAAAATACCTAAGGGCTGCTATCCACTCTTGCCTTAACACAGCAACAACTTCACTATAAGAGATCGCTCTGATGGTCTTCCAAAATAAAAAAAAAAAAAAAAAAAAAAAAAATAAACGTCATCACATAAACGCAGTGGCGATAACGGTATGGCCAAGTGTGTAGGACAGCAAGATTTTAAAAAAAAGAGGGAGACGAGCTATTTCCAAGGCAAGCTTCTGATGCGGAAAACACCAGTTACCCAGTAACTACACGGATTGCAGAAAACAGGCTCCGACGAGAAGGCCCGTCCCCCGGTTTGGGCAAAGGGATGGCGAGAGGCGAGAGAAGGCGGGGGCGGGGGGCCCGCCTCGCACAAGCGCCCTCGGGCGAATGCCGCCCGCCA